TTTAAAACCCATTAAAAATATATTCCTGCAGAAACATCAGGACAAAACTCTGGAGTCATAAATATTTGAAAACAATAATGAATCCATTTTTCCTGCACTGAGCTGTGACTGATGCTCAGTAATGAGCAGCCCGAGTGTTTTACAGTGTGACACAGGTTTTAATACTCTCTTTGTTTAAACCAGAAACACGAGCTCGTTTCTTCCAATAAAACAAAAAGACTAAAAGTGTCAAAGTGTGGAACTGTCTCCTCTGAAGCTCCAGGCTGGATCCGGTCCGGAGCCAGGGACAGTTTCACCAGTGTTGGATCAGAACACATTGTTCATCAGCACGGCTGCGCGGTGATGTCATCGTCAGAGAGAAACTGTCCCACTGACTCCAATCTGTCCTCTTGCTGTGAAACTTGGACCGCTGTCTCCTGGTTCTGTTTTAGGGTTGAAGAATATCTCTTTTTTTGTTACTTCAGTAGAAAATGAAACCAAATATTAGTTTATTTAGTTTATTTATTTCTTCATCATCAGTGACTTTTTGAGGGTTGAAGAATATCTCATCTCGCTGTTTCTCTGACTTTATCACTGCTTCGGTTCAGGAGCTTAAGAGTGGGCAACACTTTTGGAGAAGTGATGTAAAGTTTTTGTTTGGATGACAGAAGAGTGTAAATGTGTCTGTGTGTGTCTGTGTGTGTGTCTGTGTGTGTGTGTCTGTGTGTGTGTGTCTGTGTGTGTGTGTGTCTGTGTGTCTGTGTGTGTCTGTGTGTGTGTCTGTGCGTGTGTTTGTGTCACCGGCTGTGCAGCTTGGCCAGGGATCTCGCTGTAATGAGATCTCAGTCCTGTCTTCCTGCAGCGATGGCGTCAGCTCATTCTGAAACACTTCCTCCAATTAAACACAAAAACATCCATTCTCTAAAAGCTGCATCAGAACTGCAAACACACCAGGACCTGTGCAACACACAGCTGTTTGTCAGAGTCTTCTCTTCCCATCAGCTGTGGCTTTGATGGACTTCAGAGCTCATGTGAAGATTTCAAAATTAGAAAACGAAAAGAGAGATTTTAAAAAATAAATCCAGAAATGACCCTAAATGTGATAGAATTTATAATAATCTCTTTTTTTGTCTGGGTCTGTCTCAAGTCCCTCTGCCTTTTATTTATTTATTTATTCTACATTTACACAACTGCAACATCTTTTTCATTATAAAATATTGTCCAAAAAGTAAAAAGACCCTCTATGAGTTGTAGTTGACATGTCAGAGCAGAAAGGTGAGTCGTCACATCGAGATGATGATTAAGTCCCAAAGTGGTCTGAGAAATAAGCAGATATCTTTTGAGTGTTTTTATCTAAATATAACCTTATCAATGTATTATTA